ACCAACGTGATAGGCTTAAATCAAATAAAGCAATGTTGTGCCAATTTATAACATGTGGCCTCTTGGAAAACTCCATTTTGTTGGATGTCCTGTTAGTATAATAGTGTAGTTAGATCAGTTTGGGGTAGATTGGCGTTAAATAAAATAATTGAATTAATACGAAAAACATTAATTTGCGCAGCCTCATTGATACGGGGAAGTATTGCATGTGTGTTTCATACTACTGTTGCTATCTTGTTTGTTATTTTAATTTTCGTTAATAGTTAATCATCATTCATTCATTTGAAAACAAACTGTATTCTTAATTTGTAGGAAGATATGACTGATCTCCGTAATCAAGCCATACAAGATGGAACTGAAGTGTCTGGTGGTGAGATTGTTGAGAAGGTACTGAAGAAAAAGCCTACCTATGCTCGGAACATAAAGCGTACGGCTCGGGAGGTGCAGCTTGAAGCAGAATTGCAAGCCGAGAGAGCACAAAGGCAAGCTGAAAAGGAGAGTTTTGAAAGACGAAGCAAACAGTTTGAGGAGCAGATTGAAATCCAACAACAAAAGATACAAAGTCAAGACAATAAGTTTGAGGCGATGGAAGAATCACACAATCGCCTTCAAGCTACTGTTCTTGAGTTGGCTGCCAAAATGAATGATGTTAGCAGAAGCTGATTCTCTTAGTACAAGGTAACAACCAACTTTCTTATTGCTCTAACCCTTCTTCGTTTCGTTACTATAAATTTATTCCCTGCACTTTTTAAGCTGACAACTTATTTATTCAAGTTTTATATGCAATAGAGGCATCTAGTGATCCTCTTCTTCTATTGCTTTCTTTCTGTTGCTTCCACTGTCACCTTTTTTGTTTTTCTCCTTTGTGTCTTGTGCTGGATTTTGTTCCAGCAGCTGTAATACTTTTTCTAAATATGGGTCATACTGCATCTTACTTAATGCAGAAACTCATATACTTTTGCTTTCTTCACAGGTGATCTTTGCATATAGGGATTTAGTGCCTTGAGAAGATATGAAGAATTCTAGGTGAAGGATTAGTTGTGGAACACCATGATCATTGTTCATTTCAAGAACTTCTTTTTGTCGTACTAAACTAGTAAGTACTCAAGGTGTTTAGTCAAAAGTATTTGGAGTTAGTGGTGGTTTATATACTATGCTACCCATTTCAGACGATGATTGGCTATTTGATATTATAATGAAATGTTTGTTTTCTAGCAAAGTATACAGCGAAAGCATATCTACCACTACATAATGACAAACGCTTTCATCCACATAAACCACATTGTGACAACAATTCATTGTGGCAGAATTAATTTGTCATAAGCTCAATTTTGAATTAAAATCATTAATTTGACAAAATGCTTCTTGTCATAGTAACATCAATGGTGACAAAGAGCTTTGTCATTCTTGACATCATAATATGAAGTTGTGACGAATTCGGTTTTGTTACTATAATGTTATGGTGACAACAAACTTTTTCACATGTAATGAAATGTGACGAATGTGTAATTCATAATTTAATTATGAATTATGTGAAAAATGACTAAATCTGCAATTAATAACTAGATTGTGACAATGCTATTTGTCATAATAAAGTTGCAAAATATTATCTCTTATGACAAATTTGTAATTGTGACAAATATTAATGACAAAATGACTTGTCATGTTATACATGTTTGTCACAACATAACCTCAAACTAACATGTCTAATGACAAAACGGTTATTTAAATATGATAAAATAGTAACTAGTTGTGACAAAAATGTTTATCACAAGAATGTTCTATTATGACAAAAGGTTTTCGTTACAAGAAACTTATCCCTCTTGTGACAAACTAAGATTATTTTTGTCATAATAGATCTATTACCACGGGGTTCTTTTAACAAACCATGTTTGTCACAATCTTTGTCACAATAGGATTGTGGTGACAAAATCGGAGACTATTATGACAAAGGTAACCTGTCACTATAGACCAAATTTGTTGTAGTGTAAGTTCGAACAACACCAACAATTCCCATGATAGATTTGATAATGGGGAGTAGGACTGGACATTATAATGCTCAGCTAAAGCTAAGTCCTACTATCTTACATCACAGAGAAAGAGCTCTAGTGTTCACCAACCGGTTCCTTACTCCTCAACACTAAACATAAATATAACAAATTCACTCGACATGGAGGTGCAAAAAAAAAAAACTACCGGTCTATAAAATGACCAGATAACTGTTACAATGAGCAACCCACCATTGCTCCCTAGCTTGCAGTCTAGCAAGGGGGTGCAGATATACCATCAAGTTATGTCAGCTCATGACGAACTCTCTAGTTAGCTTGTGGTAGTTTGACTTGAGGGTGTCCCACGCCAATTGCACTCCATGATAGTATCTCATCGATGGGGTATCGGAATATCACATACAGCTGATAATTCACAACAGTTACAACATTAAAGTAAGTCAGGTTGGATGAAAAGATGCGAACAACATATGAAATATTATTTATTGCAGCATAGTTTCAGTTTGCACCCCCAACACAATGTTTAGATAGGGCTTGGGATCGTAGAGCTTACACCTATCATCACCAATCCTAATCACGAAACATTGATTCAATTCGTAGGTGAAGAATATATTCTATAGACCAATTAGCTAAAAAAACAAACATCAACCCAAATGTCGTTGATGAGACCTTAAATTAAAGCAACCAACCATAAAGAAATGGACCAATTTTAGGAGGATAAAAAGGAAAACGAGAATCACCTCATGAAATAGATGTCAAGGTCTCCGCCACCGGTAGCCGCTCTTTCACCAATTTCAAGTGACTAAGTGTTCAAGAATAACGTAAATATACGTTCGTTCAAAACCATCGTTCCATAAACTTGTTGGACCATGTCTATTTTTGGTTCTTGTTTCCATCCTAATCTTTGTTTACATCTCTTTGTTTACAACTTTGAATTGGAAGTGGAAACTCAATTCCTCAATTCTACCGTTCATTGAATGATAAAAATTTATACAAACCCCTTGGTTGTTATTTATGATAACTCAAGCCTAAAACTTGACACAATATACACAAAATTTAGGTAGAAAACACCAAGGTCCTACACTTCAGTCTATATGAACGACGTACACATGACATTGACAAAAGCAAGCAAAGCCAATGAAGTCCATTAAACCACTATTAAAGAAAACGAAGTCCAAAAATCAAAGAATTCTTCTCAGCTAAATCATAACATCCTTATTAATCACCCATATATCCATTTTTCATTGAAATTGGAAAAAACACCAAACCCAATTAACTTCAAAACAATCACCAAGTCTATTTCTCCAGTGATTCACTTTGCCACACTATCTTTTCCCTGGGTTTGTGATCCCTATAACCTAACCTATATGATTACTTATGTTGGTAGGAGACGATAGGGCACCAACATTTGAAATTGATATAGAACATTAGAATAAGAGGATGTGTATAGACAACAAATGCAAAAGGAATAAACAATAGCCATAATTAACAATACTTGCAGAGATGAAGCAGATTGGTAAGGAACCAACTTAAAAGCTTAAGAATGTTGAATTTGAAAGAGTAAACAAAGTCGATAATGCAATAATTAACCCCCAAACAAAAAAATTGAAGGAGAAAGAAAACTGGTTCCATGAACCCATTGTCGTTTTCAAAGCATTCTAACATACTATCCTACAGACGAAATCGACAAAGACATAGAACGGAATTGAATGGAATTTTTTAAAAGAAACAAAATAGATCAGACATCACATATTGAAGGCTATAAAATATAAGCTGACAAAAGCAGATCAAGGTGTATTGCTGCCTCCATGACATAGGGCTGATGCAAACCAGTCAAAAATTCCCAAAGGAGGAATTAAAAAGGAGGGAAGGGGAGGGAAATTAGGGAACATACCACCAAAGACTGAGAGGAAAGAAAGATCATTTGTCATTTCTGGATTTCACATTGGATACATGGTCTTGCCAACTCCTCGATCCTACTTAGACGTCTGGTAGGGAAAAGAAGATAGAGTTTATGGTTGATGATAAAAGAGTAGCATGAACAATGAAGCTTAAGTTTGGTGTTCAAGAACTTGGAATAGTAATGATATGGTATAAGACAATAGAAACATACATCCAAACCTAGCAGATCTCACTTGATCATCCACACCCCTCTTAAGTCCCAATGTATCAAATCTATGACCAAGGAAAGGTAAAAATTAAAAATATGAACTTAGAATAATCAACAAATGGGTTGACTGAACAGAGCTCAAAATTTCACAAAATAGCAAACAAACAAAAGAGATAAATAATAAGAGTTGAAACCCCATGATATACCTCATTACTTTCAAAGGATGAGTTCTCCGGCAATATTTTCATCTAATTCTGGCATCTACTTCAATTGATATGTTCTACAATTTCCTTTTTTGCGCTCTAGAAGGAGAATAAGACGATGACGTAAGATGGTCGGACAAAGTAAACAGAAAAAGAGATGGAAGGTAATTTTTCGCAGCAATGGAAGAGGGAAATCAGATTTGCAGAAGATTGGAAGACAAAGTGAAAGTGATTCAAGGTTATAGGAGGTAACTGAAGCCTGATGTGGAAGCCAAAGCATCAAGGGATTCAGGTGGTATGAGTCGTTGAAGGGAAGGCGAATACAAATGCAGCTTACAAACCACTCACCATAACCGAAAAACACAACCACAGCTCCCAAGTGCAAATCCACCTTGCAAAAGCTACCAATGAAAGCTTCCACAGAAGAACTCTGAATCAAGCAAATAGGTTCACGTGAGAAAGTGAAACCCCAACATTCTTGAACTAAAGAAAGGTAATTTGAAGTGGTTAATAAGAACAAATGGTGGGGCGGAGATCCTACCAAGGGCGACGCCAAGTGGAGATATTGGTGAAGCAGTGGGGGTCCTTCGTCAAATGATGGAGGAGAACCGCAAACTGATGGCAGAGAACCGTCAAGCCACAGAGGAGAACCGCCAAATGATGGTGGAGAACCGCCGCATGATGGAGGAGGCTAGAGCTGCTTCTCATCAGGTAAATTCTCAAATAGACTGTCTTAATTCTAGAGTTGATAGACGTCTAAGTCAATTATTTGAAGTGGTTAATAAGAACAAAAGTGATTTTGATGAGTTTAGAAGATTTTTAACCACACCAATAATCCAATCTAGAGCTCTGCCATTAGATGGCGGGAATTCAAACCCCAATAGAAATTCCGGAAATTTAAGTTCATCTCCCGCTGGCGGTGGAAATGGTCAGCCACGGCAAGATAACCTCTTTCCGCCGATGACAAACCAACCAACTCCTCACCGCATGAATCGCGGCGAGATTCCTGCCACTACTCAAGTGGAAGGGATACCCAATGTGGGAGTTGGAGAAATTCCCCCACGTGGTGAGAATTTGGGAGTTACACATTCTGCTCCAGTGGAACCGCCACCCATACCCATGCCAGTGGCAAGGCCCTATACGGTGCTTGCTCACATGGGAGGGGAGTAGGCTTAGGTGGGGGGATCAAGTTCCTCCGAGAGCATACCCAACACCCATGCCACCCCATTTCAATGGGCATGGCATGGACCCATGGGTTTCGTACCCCAAGGGGGGCAAACAGGGGGGCATGATCCCAACACTCTAAGGGATCAGGTGGCTCAACTTCTTGCCGAGCAATTTGGCATGGGAGTGAGACCCACCATGCCACCTGTTTATCGAAAATCATACCCTGAGTGGGTGGATAGATTCTACCCATTCCCAAGGGGGTTTAGAGTGCCCGAATTTGCCACATTCACTGGGATAGGGGACCAGTCTACTGTGGAGCACATTGGACGTTTTACTGTCCAGTATGGGGATGTGGGAGATTTTATTAAGTTAAGAGTATTTGGAAACTCATTGACAGGACCTGCTTTTGCCTGGTATATATGTCAACTTGCCATCCAACTCCATCCAAACATGGCAGCAGATGGAGCAAATCTTCCATGCTCAGTTCTATAGATCTGAGCGTGAGGTTTCCATGGCTGATTTGGCACGAATGCACCAAGAGCCAGGGGAGTCAGTAGAGCACTTCTTGACAAACTTCAATAATGCTTGTAATCGTTGTTTTGTCAACTTGACAGAGAGAGAGTTTGTCAAGTTAGCACAAGGGGGGTTGAGTTTTGAGTTAAGGAAGAAATTCCAAGATAGAGAATTCTCTGACTTGTTCCAACTCATGTCTTGTGCGGTGAGATATGAATCTCTTATTCAAGAAGAGGAGAATAGGAGGAGTGTCTCAAGGGGGCAATACTTCCCCAACATCGGCTACCCTATTAACCATATTGGCCAAGAGGCCAATGAGGTGGAGGTAGACCTGGCTGAGTTAACTCCAGGGAAGCCATATGTATGTGCTCCTTTGGCTAAGATGGACAATGAACCACAAGGGGGTAGACCAAATCGTGCCCCTATCCAGCCACGGAGGTATTCCTTCGATATCTCCAAAGCTGACTTGATTTTTGACCAACTCTACAAGGATGGTCAAATCAAGTTGACAGGGGGGCATAACATCCCACCACCCGAGAAATTAAAAGGAAAGAAGTATTGTAAGTGGCATAACAGCATGTCACATGCCATTGACTCATGTGTGGTTTTCCGTAATATCTTGCAGGATGCTATTGAGAAGGGGTGTATCAAGTTCCCGGAACCCAAGAAGGATGCCATGTTGGTGGATACTGATCCATTTCCCAACGTGGTAGGCATCAACATGGTTAACCCGGATCTCTCCAAAATTGAGTTACCCCGTTTTAAGTTGGTGTTGGATACAACGCCGCCTCAACATGGGAGCTCCAATGTCACTCATGAACAAGGGAGCTCGTCAGGTACAAAGCAGGCTAGCCCGGCCGCAATGATGACAGATGAAATTGAGAAGTTGTGTGCTCAGTGCAAGAAGAGCCTCAAACTTGATGAGGCGAGGCCTTCCGCCCACCAAAGACTTGGCCCACCCAACAGGCCGAGATACCCTTCTTATCAAAGACAAGTGGAGGGGGTCGTCCAGCCGGCTTGGGGGAAACGAAGGCAGTGGATAGCACATGGCATTCCTTCCGTGAGAAGTCCTCCCGTTAGGGGTCCTCCCGTTAGGGGTCCTCCCGTGATGAGAACTTTTAAGATTCCCAATGTGCCACGAGGAGGGTGTCACACTTATGACATGCGTCGTCAACAACCAGTAGCCATTGGGGGGATGACAAGGACTCAAAAGAGGATATTCCTACGTAAGAATGCTGCAGCACGACAGGAAAGGTATCCAGTAATACTTGGTGCGAGGATCAGACCATCACAACACAATGATGTTGTTCCACCAAATATCGAGGTGGACAGCTCGGTGACTACCGGGCTCAAGGTGACAATGACTGACAAAGGGAAGCAGGTCCAAGTACAGGCTGATTTCAAAGTTCGTGAAGGGGTCGAGGATGACTTCCAAGAAGGAGGAGGTGAATATGAAGATGAGATGCTGAAGATGACATGCTAGAAGATGAGCATCCCAATCCCAAATTCGATAGAGGCAACAAGGATGATGAAGGGGATGACCAAGGACCCCCTCTGACAATCCAGTTTGGAAGTTTGCCGCCAGTGGTGGTCACAAACTACATACTACCTACGGTCTTCCAATTCAATGAGGAAGACCGAGATAGGTATGTGGAGGAAGAAGAGGTAGTAGAAGAGGCTGAAGATACAGATGGGTCCGTTGCTGAGTTAACCGAGGCATTTGCTCGTTTGGAAGCAAGTGATGAGCCATGGGGTGTCAGGATGGCTCGATTGGGGAGTAGGATTGATCTAGCTGCTGAGGTGGCAAGACAAGGCAAAAGTTCCCAGCAACTCTTGAAGGAACTCCATGAGGTAGGCCATAAGAGTGTTGGTTTGCTTGGTGAAGATGATGGGAGATACCCGTTTTATGTGTTATACTAGGGTCCTCAAGCTTCATCGTCCTCACCCATTCAGAACCCTTCTTGGGGCTGGGAGTTTGATGGTGAGGCCGAGGGTTCGGCAACAAAGGAAGAAAGTTCGCCGAGAGAAGAGGAAGTCTTGCAAGTAGCCACCTTGAAAGGGAAAGAGGTCATGAAGGAGGAAAACACAAGTGATGAGTTAAGTCACTTAGTGGTTTTCAAGGAACCAGAGCCAAGTATGCTAAGGCATTTGAGGCCCCTCTATATCAAGGCTAGGTTGGATGGTATGCCGATGTCAAGAATCCTTGTTGATAATGGAGCTGCTCTCAATGTGATTCCCACTGGGCTGTTAAGAAAATTGGGAAAGACTACAAGCGATTTGATTCCCACTGATATCTTCGTTACTAGCTTCAATGGGGGATCAACATCAGCAAGAGGGATACTACCGGTCTTAATTGGAGTTGGTAGTCAAGAGAAAATGTCTGCTTTCTTTGTGGTGGATGGAGCGATAAGCTACAATGCCTTGTTGGGAAGGGATTAGGCCCATGCCAACAAGTGTGTCCCATCCTCACTTCATTAGTGTTTGATGTTTTGGAATAAGGAAGGAATGGTGGAGGTAGTACAAGCAGACACCAACCCCTTTGCAGTTGGTGCTAACGTGGCCGAGACTCACTCTATCATGGAGACTTCGGGCCTCTACAAGTGAGGAGTATGGATGGAGGGTCATGCACAGTGGTGATGTCAAGTGCTAAGATATTGAGCATGGCATGCCTCGACCCCCTTGCCGACATTGTGAGACCATCTATGATTACATTGGATGGTCCACCTAAAGCTGAAACAATCGTCAATGATGAATAGACCACTTCGAGACGAGGTAGTGGGCAAGGCCGAAGTGACGGCCTTGTTGGAGAAGTTAGCCATCTATCAATGCGAGCAGAGGTTAGCTTGTGAGGAAGCGGTGTTGATGGCTGACTGTGTGCCTGAAGATGACTTGCCTGAAGAAGGCGAGGTACCGGGTATAGCTGGAGAAGACCAAAGGCCTATGACATCACGTGATGTGTTGGAGGAGATCAATCTTGGCACCGAGGACGAACCACGTCCTACTTTCATCAGTGCCATGCTCCCCGAAACCGAGAGGTATGAGTTAATTAATTTGTTAAGAGAATTTAAGGATTGTTTTGCATGGGATTATCACGAGATGCCTGGTCTAGATAGAAAGTTAGTAGAACATAGATTACCCATTAGTGATGGTTTCAAACCCTTTAAACAGCCGCCTAGACGTTTTGCTTATGAGGTCTTGCCAGAGATTAAGAAAGAAATTGAAAGATTGTTGAAGGCTGGCTTCATTAGGACAGCCAGGTATGTGGAGTGGTTATCCAATGTAGTGCCAGTCAGAAAGAAGAATGGCAAGATACGTGTATGTGTAGATTTTAGAAATTTAAACTTAGCCACTCCTAAGGATGAATACCCCATGCCAATTGCGGACATGTTGCTTGATGCAGTGACTAGGCATAATATCTTTTCTTTCATGGATTGTTACTCAGGCTATAATCAGATCTACTTAGCCGAGGAAGACATCCACAAGACCGCATTCAGATGTCCTGGAGCCATAGGGTGCTACGAGTGGCTCGTCATGCCCTTCGGGTTGAAGAATGCCGGTGCCACTTACCAACGAGCCATGAATGCTATCTTTCATGACTTGATTGGTGAGTTGGTTGAGGTCTATGTGGATGACATTGTTGTTAAGTCTAAGGTAACAAGTCAACATTTATCGCATCTTCGCATGACTTTCTTACGTATGAGAGGCCATAACTTGTAGCTAATCCACTTAAGTGTGCATTTGGTGTGTCTGCAGGTGACTTCTTAGGGTTCCTTGTGAGCCAACGTGGCATTGAGGTTGATAAGAGCAAAACCAAGGCCATCATTGAGGCCATGCCACCAAGTAATAAGAAAGAGCTTCAAAGGTTCCTCGGCCAAGTTAACTACATTCGACGTTTCATCTCGAACTGTGCTGGCCGAACCCAAGTCTTCTCACCTTTGTTGAAATTGAAGCAGGAAGATGAGTTTGTATGGCGTCAAGAGCATCAACAAGCCTTTGATGACATCAAGAAGTACCTGGCAACCCCGCCGGTACTCAACTCTCCAATCCCACATCGGCCATTGAAGTTGTACCTTTCAGCCACTAACACCTCTTAGTGTGTCTGTTGGCTCAAGATAATGACTCTGGCCATGAACAGGCCGTGTACTACTTAAGTAGACTATTGAACGAGGCAGAACAAAAGTACTCCCCTGTAGAGAAGTTATGTTTAGCCTTATATTTTTCTTGTATGAAGCTAAGGTACTACTTGATGCCTGTTCAAGTGCAACTCATATGTAAGACTGATATAATAAAGTACATGTTGTCCCGGCCAATCATCCATGGGAGAATTGGTAAGTGGACACTTGCACTATCTGAGTTCAACTTGCAATATGTGCCTCAAAAGGCCATAAAGGGCCAAGCATTGGCTGACTTCTTAGTTGACCACCCATGTGTGGATGTGCCAGCTGAGTTGGTAGAAATAGACATGGTGGAGGAGGCCCCTTGGACCTTAT